TCGGCCCGCCCCCAGCCCGCGTTCGGTCCTCAGGGGCTGCCGTGCCATGCGGCCGGCTGATGACCTGGCTGACGGCACCTGTCCTTGGCAGGCCAAGGCCACACCTTGCTGGCAGAAGAGGATTAGCTATCAACTTTTATTGGCGTGCTGTAGTTTGCACAGGACCAGTCCCCGGCCCTGTGCTGCGATCAGCCCCTGAAGAGGTGCCCTCTGGTACCAAGCAGCTGACAGCTCTAGCCAAGCCGGCTGCTGCGCGCCAATTCGAGCGTCCGTGTTGCCATCTGCTGTGCGCACTCTTGTGTTGGGAGGAGCCCTTCTGGCAGGACAGCGAGGGGTTAAGGCTGGCTCCGTGGTGACTAATGGTGCAGGACTCTGCTATCTAGTTAGGTGTGTAGGCACACACCAGGTCCCACTAGATAGGATCTCTTACCTGGAAGCAGCATTCCAGCACCCAGCGATAAACCCGACAGCCCCGCAGACTGACTCACCTGAGGCCTCAGTGCCAGGTGATCTGCCCTTCCTTCCCCCCAGTGCTGCAGTACAGGCCAAACACGCTGGCAGGGGCTGATCCTCTGCTGTGCAGGGCAACTGCTCAGGAGTGTGGAGGGGACATGCACCATCTCAGCATGAGCTGCAGATACTCGCTGCCTGCCTCCAGCGGTAACTCCAGCGCCTCACTGGCAGCCTTGTTGTCATCCTCGTCTTCCAGGAAGCTGCTGTGTGCTCAGCTCCTCAGTAAACAGGAGTTTGGCAGAGCTGCCGTACACCGCCTACCTCAAGCCACTGTTTCAGAGCAAGGGAAGGGCCATTACTGCAGGCAGCTGTTTGCGAATCACTTGCAGGACTCTGATCCTGTGAGCACATGCGTGGTCATGCCCAGCCCAGCCCAGTGCTTGTGCTGCCTGGTTGCTTCCACGCGCTCCATAGCCCACTTGGTAAACTTAGGCCTTCCTCAAGGCAGTCACTGGCTTCCTTGCGGTTGAACAGTGCAAATGCAGCACAATGCCAGGCTGAGTGGAATGGGCAATGACAGTGTCTGGCAGCATGGGGACCATGTGGCTTCTCAAATAGGTTTTAGCATCACAGAGCAGAAGCCAAAGTGGTTGTTTCACCTAAGAAAAATGCCTTGTCCACAAAGGCAGCCCAAGGCTCTTCTAATGCTGTGATAAACAAGCCCATGTTCAGCCAGTGAAACGCTCTTTTCCCTGGCTAGTCAACTGGGGGG